TTGCTGTGCAGCTCCCTCATCTTTGGTGTGCCTCTGCCAAAGAGGACTTGCATGGTGTGCTGTGCGATGTGCAGAGCAGGGCAGATGTCACAGAATCACAGAAGTTCGGGGTTGGAAGGGACCTCTGGGGGTCATCTAGTCCAACCCCCCTGCTGAAGCAGGGTCACCCACAGCAGGCTGCACAGGACCTTGCCCAGACGGGTCATGAATATCTCCAGAGAAGGAGACTCCACAGCCTCCCTGGGCAGCCTGTTCCAGGGCTCCGTCACCCTCAGAGGGAAGAAGTTCTTCCTCAGGTTCAGCTGGAACTTCCTGTGCTTCAGTTTGTGCCCATTGCCCCTTGTCCTGTCGCTGGGCACCACTGAAAAGAGTCTGGCCCCATCCTCCTGACACCCACCCTGCAGATATTTGTAAGCATTTATAAGGTCCCCTCTCAGCCTTCCCTTCTTCAGGCTAAACAACCCCAGCTCCCTCAGCCTTTCCTCATAGGAGAGATGCTCCAGTCCCCTCATCATCCTCATAGTGGCACAGTAACGGAGGGGTAGGCATGAAGCGCGCTGCTGGTGTCTGGCTTCCATGGTGGCTCCCTCTTTCCCCCTGTGTGACAGGTCACCCCTTCTCCCAGTGGCCACAGTGGTGCAGGGAGGTGGCTCTGCGTGGCTGCACCGATGGCTGCTGTGGTGCTGGCTTTTGGTGCGCTGGCGTGGTGGGGAGCAGAGGGAGGACAGACCTCCCTGTTCCTGGCAGCAGCACCTTTCCAAACACCTTCAGTGCAGCTTGTGAAGCAGCACCCGCTGAGCTCGGACCTGGGGATGCTGTGTTGGGGCTGGGCTCTGTCTCTGTCGCTGCTCCCACTCTGCAGCTGCCATCGAATTTCGGCTCTTGCCTCTCCGGTGGGATGCCTTGCAGGGATGGCCCACTGGGGTCACTCACACCGGCTCCTTGCGGTTCAGGCGACTGCATCACGTAATCTCTGCAATAAGCCCATCAAGTCCCAGGCTGGGCTGGAGCCTGCTGCAGCCTGGGGGAGCAGGCAGGTTAATCCGGAGCTCCTCCGGCCCCGGCATCGGCCCCTTTGAAGTAGCTGCAGCTCAGGAGTGAACTCGCCTTCTCGGGAAAGCTGGCGTTTTCACTAAGCAGCAGACTTTTATTATCAGAGCTGGGAGCGCAGTGGTTTCCTTCTCCTGCCAGTAATCCCCACTCGGGGCACGGTTATGCTCTTTTACAATTTGTTTTCTTTAATTGCCAGTTTGCAGTGGCCGTGCAGCTCTCCCTAGGCTGTGTTTTGGTGTGCTTTTGCACTTTGAAAGCAGCTTAGTCCTTCCCATCTTGCCCCTGGAACTGGGCAGCAATTCCTCTGCAGGTGTTTCCGCAAGAGTCCTGCTGGAAAAACAAGTAATAGCCCATGCTTTTTGACTGGTGCCTGATAACCGTGCTCTAGAGTAGAGCTTCATCTGTTTCATGCATCCTTGGGGAGCCCTGATAAACTGCCCTTGACAGAGACAGCAGACAGATGTACGGTGCTGGTGCACCAGGTACGATGCTTTGCCGATGGTGCTCTGGCTCTCACCCTGGGTACCGTCCCTTCATTTCACCAGGCACAGTGTGGGTCTTCCCGTCCATCCTGGGACAGAGCACTGTGGTGCTGTGCGTGGTTTCGTTGCTCCCAGGTTTTGTCTCTGTGCTGACTGGAGTGACTTTGGAGTAGAATTTGTGTATGTTACGTTCAGCACCTTTAGGTACCTGCGGATGAAGTGTGCTTAAGAAATACTCAGGCAGGACTGACTTTCTGGCGTGGTGGTCCGTGATGGCTCAGGCTGTCGTCTGCCCAAGTCAGACTCGTGCATCAGAGCTCTTAAAATTTTAGTACATGCAAGAGTGAGTTTTTTTTAGTGTGGTTTTCCACCTCCACCCCCCACCCCCCCCCACTAATCACATAAGAAAGTATTTTAAAAGCCGATAAATAACCGTGTGGCATGGTTGAGTTCTGCTGTGTGTGCATAGCATACAGGTGATGGAGATGGTGAGACGTGTGCTCCACTCTGCTTTGCGATGCCTTTGCCTGCTGGAATTTGAGTGCAAGTCTGATGCTACACTTTATCAGTGCTCTGAAGTTGTTTGCTCTCTTTCAGCTAGACCTGCAGACCAGCTGCCTTAAATTGTGGTTTTCTTTCTTTTTTTTTTTTTTTAAATATACTTAAAATAAATAGAAGAAAGAAAGGATTCAATTGTCCTCCAGCAACAGCAGTTTCAATAATGCCATGTTATGAGCAGGGCAGATTTTACCAGCAGCAAATGCAGGCTGTGGGATTTTATGGGGGATCAGAAGCCTGTGCTGCTTCCGTGGGAGCACGGGGGACTGACCCGCAAAGTTTCCTCCTCTTTGAAGTGCTCGGAGTCTGGCCGTGGGTCACTTCTGCTGCTGGCAGCTGGGGCTTTAATATTCTTGCAGCCAGCCCTTTGGGAGGAATATTTCAGAGTAAGCAACTGCTAGGGAGTTGGGTGTGAGAGATTTTGGATGTGTAAGGGTCTTTTTTTACAAAGTTTTATTAATTCTTGCATCTATTAATAGGGCAGCAGGAGGTTCCATGTGCTTTTATAGTCCCTGTTGCGCTTTCTAATGGATATATGCAACGGCTCCAAGGCGCATGAAAGAGACACTCTTAGCCAGTTATTATGATAAAAATTATGTGCATGTCATGACCTTTAAAGCAGTGGGACTGTGTGTGCACGCTCTTCTGATACGCCACTGTTCTCGATTCCTTTCTGAAGCATTTCTCGCCGTAGGAGGTTTGCATAGGAGCTTGGAATATTTTTCTAATCAGTGAAGAGTCTCTTGGCTCTGATGGTAGCTTGCAAAGCACAGAGGAGCGAGAAGAGGGAAGAGGGATGACTTTTTCTAAGGGAACTAACAGAGAAGAGGTTAAAGGCGAATGGTGAGGCACAGCATGAAAACCCTGGCATCGTCTGCAGGGCTGTCAAAAAAACACTGGCCCAAAAAGTGCTGTGTGCTCTTTGAGGAAAAAGCTATTCTGGTGCTCTGGAGGATAAGGAAGGAAAAAAAGTTTCGTAATCCTACTTAAAGAGACTTTTTTTGTTTTAAAACTTTTAATAATGGTGCAGCCAGAATTTGCTCTGCTTGCGTAGCCCGCACGTTTGCCCCACCATGTGTCGGACGTGCCGTTGTGCCTGGAGAGCTTTGCAATATTCTGTCTGGGGCTGAGGAGCAAGGTGCCTGCTGTCGTGGCGAGGGAGGGGACATGGAGAGAGCAGCTCTGTGTCCTTGCACCGCTGCATCCCTCAGTCTGGGGTGTTAGGAGGGATTGCTGTCATCTGGGGACGCAGATGGTTGGGCTTGCTGGGGCAGTCGTGGTGAGGGATTCGGGAGCTGCGGACAAAATGCTTCAGTGGCGCGCCCAGGAGGTGTGCAGGCACCAGGTGGGATGCAGACGCTGTTGGCGGAAGTATATCGGTATTTTCTGCTTTGATTGCTGCTTATGCTGTAGCTTTCTGCGTGCTGGTGTGGGGGGCAGCAAGTAGCAGCAGGTCCCTGTCCCGCCAGGCGTGCCCGCACAGGGTGCGCCCAGGAGGAGAGAGCTGGGACTCCTGGAGATGAGATGGTCTCAAAAGCTCTGGAGTAACGCGGGTGGTTACGGGGGCAAGCAGCAAGGCCTGACACTGCTTGTGACAGCGCTGATACCGAACCCCCATGGTGAGGCGTCAGGCCACACTCGGCTGCATCCCAGCCTTAACAAATGGGAAAAATAACACTTACGGTTTTAAAAATTAAACATCCCCTTTAATTATTGAACATGAATAATTTTCATGCAAATTGAGCCTGAATGTGTGTTTCCAGAGTGACACAGTTGAGAGCGGTTACGTGGTGGGGTGTCAGTGACCTGTGAACTGGGAGGCTGTTGGTTATTTTTAGCATTTTATGAGTAGTCCCCTGGAGGGTGGGACATAGGCTGGTGGAGAGAGTTGGCTGAAGAAAAAGACTACAGTTTGCACTGGTGGGCTCCTCTTCTGATGCTTTAACTCACAAACTGGTGTGTGTATAGGTACGTTGTCTTTACATACTTGGGTACAGATATTTTGGAAGCCTCCTGGTGAGGAGGGCTGTAATTAAGGGAATCACCGCGCAGTGACTGTGCTGCTGGAGGCTCTCCTGCTTGCCAGTGGAGGAGGTGTGGGCACAAATTCCTCAAGTCTTGGAAGGTGGAGAGGGGAAAATGCACCCTGGCTTTTCCTAGCAAATTGGTGGTCTCCATGTAAAACTTGAGCTTCATGAGGCAGTTTGGCACAACCTGATGGCTGCGAGAGTGGTCCTGGCTGGGCACTCACGGATGGACACTGCATCACCAGCTCTCAGCACTGCTTTGGACCACAGAGCAGCTCGTGCCCAGGGCAGATGAAATGTTGAATCTGCAGCTGAAGTGAGCCTGGGAAAGCTACAGCACGGCAGGGGCTTTTCAAATGGCTTTGGGGACACTTAGTTTGGGGCGGGTGCTGGGGGTCGAGTCCAAATAGCCTCTGTGATTAAGCTTCTATAAATATTTTTCTTTTCATAATGGAATGTCAGCATTTACTGTTTCCTGATTTTAAACACTGCACAATTTGTCAAACTTTTATCTCTGCCTTAAATTAAGTTTTGAGATAGAATTCCTGTTAATTTCAAATCAATATGAAAGAGGGAGAGAAAGAAATTGCAGTCTAGCCCTTTTCTTGAATCAATATTTTCTTTAAAAGCTGAAATGTTAACTAGATCATAGTTTTCGCCATTTTGAAATGTAGCTTGTGTTTAAAGAATATATACATTTCCCCTGAAAATCGCTGATGGTGGTAAGTTTTGCAGCAGGCATGGCTGCCAGCAGGCGTTTGACCCAAAGCGGGCAGGATGGGACCAGCCTTTGCAGCACTAATGCGGTATAACATTATCCTCCCTGTTTCTGAGCTCATTGTCTCTTAATAACTTTTTTTTTTCTGGTTCTGTTTTGCAGAATCCTTTGAAATTGTAGTACGGCATGCAAGAAACTTCACCAACAGCATGTTTAGGACCCACTACCAGAGCATGGGGCCCAGAGCTCTTAAGTTTGTTGGAGAACTTTTTACTGATGTCTCGCTGTACATATTGGGCTCTGACATCAGTGTTAATGACATGATAAATGAATTTTTTGACAGTTTATTCCCTTTGGTTTACTCTCACTTGATTAATCCCGGCTTCCCCGATCCGTCTGTGGAAATGACTGAATGCCTGCGGGCAACAAGGAGAGACCTCAAAGTCTTTGGTAACTACCCGAAGATGATGATGACGCAGGTGTCTAAGTCGCTGCAGGCCACGCGAGTTTTTCTGCAGGCGCTCAACCTGGGGATCGAGGTGATAAACACTACAGACCACTTAAAATTCAGCAAGGACTGTGGGCGAGCGCTGCTAAAGATGTGGTACTGCTCGCACTGCCAGGGGCTGCTCCTGGCCAAGCCCTGTGCTGGCTACTGTGGCGTGGTGATGCAGGGATGCTTGGCGGGCGTCGCAGAGATCGATAACCACTGGCGAGAGTACATCAGGTCATTGGAGGGGCTGGCCAAAGGCATGCGTGGCATCTATGACATGGAGCAAGTCCTCCTGAACCTCTTCTCCCTGGTGCGGGACGCCATCGTCTACGTGCAGAGGAACGAAGGAAAGCTCTCAACAACCGTGAGTGGTTTTCTGCAATTCCCCTAGCTCGCTGCCATGGCGGGGCTCAGTAGCATACCACGAGCTCTACGTGTTGACATCCACCTACCCTTTTATTCCAGCCAACAAACCCCAAATGCTGCGATTTCTAGCTCCTCCCTCCTCCCCACTCCAATTCTCTGATGTTTTAAAAAAACTTTTGGTAGCTTTTGAAACTGGTGTTTATGAGGGCTGGGCTGCAGTTAAGGGCTTTGCCTCTTTTCAGGCTGGTCAGAGCAGAAGGGTCTGGAGTCGTCCTAGCATCAGCCTTGTAGCCGGGGTGCGAGATTGGCAGCTGAGATGTCCCAGCACCTTCAGTGCTCCCTGGGCCCTGTGCTTGCCTCGGGTGGCTCTGAAAGGCTGGTCCTGCTCTCCAGGTGTCCCCTGCCTCCTTTGACATCCCTAAAATGTCCCTCCAAAGAGATGCCAACTGGAGGCATGTACTGGGCATCCACTGCTTCCTGATTTTCTAAAGGAGGTCTGGTTTTCCCTCTTTTGGTAACTCATCCTACTTCTGGGCCACATATAATCCCAGGGGTTGAGGTTATTTCGTATTTATTAGGAGTGATCTGACTCTTGAAAAACACATTGTGTGAATTTCTGAGCCTCCCAAGAAACTGGGGGTCTCTTGTTCAGAAAATCGTGCTGCTCTGTTGGAATGCCAAGGACGAATGGACTGCAGTAATACAGCGCTTGTTTTGCAGAGGAGACTTTTCTTGAGCCGCAGTTGAGCTGTGGCGTGCAGGTAGGGCAGAGCTGGGGATGGGGGCAAAGGTGCAGGTATATTGTTATAGTTTGCTTAAAGCCAGCGATGATTAAAATCTGCCACCGTTTCCCTGTTAGCTGCGTGTTCCTATGGTTCTTGACTCCTGCTCACAAAAGAACTGTGTTTATGTAGGTCATTGCAGTACTTGCACTGTAACCAACTTATCTTTTTTGGGGACTGTGGAAATGTATCAGCTTATGGATTTGGAACTGTGTGGCATTTAGCCAGCAGCCCTCCTGCCTGCTGCTTTATGTGCCAGCTTTGCTCGGTGACTGCCCAGACATGCCACCGCACCTATGCAGGCCGTGAAATAATGGGGTGGCACCCGGGCGGTTTCACAGCCCCAGGGTGGTTCGGCACACGTGGTGCAAGCCCTCTTTGTTGCTTAGAAGGGATTTAGGAACCACATCTTCAGTAACTTGGATGACTCTTGTGTTGTGGTGACCAGGAGGAGGCTGTGGCTGAGGGCTGGGTGTTGGTGTTGGTCACCCGGGCGGGTGGGTGCAGGCAGGACTCGTGGGCTGCACATCAGGCTCCGGGGTAGGGTGCGGGACACTGGCTTTCGACAGGTATACCTTATCCCCTTTCTGCAGAAAATCCCTGTTTTACAGCAGCCTGCCAAGCATTTCCCCAGGACTGCAAGGAGGTTCCAATTTATGGGGTCCAGGGGCAGCAGCTCTGCTGGGCACAACTTCTGCTGCCGTGGAGCCAAAGCAGGCTCTTGGGAGCATCAGCCAGAACCTGTCAGCCCTCTCTGGAACAACAAAGGAGCCGAGGTGTAACTGTAGGTGTAGCTTGAAGTCAGGTGAGATGGAGAATTCATGCTACAGGTGATAACGATACATACAAGAGAGAAAACCCAGCTCAACTCTAAGCCCAGTTGGCACTTCCAAGGAAATAAGAAACAAAACTAACTTCTACATGTAGTGTGGAGACTGTTTGATCTCAAAAGATCAGTCGACGTACTCAGCTGTGAGCAAAAGCATCCAAGATGTTTTGCACCAGCAGACCTGCTGTACTTGTAGGTGCTAAGGCAGAGCAGAAACATTGCCCTTACGTGCTGTATGCCAGGTTTTGCAAGCGCACACAAGTGCATTGCTGTGCGATCCTGAAAGTGTAAATGTTTGTCCTCTCATATCCTTCTTTTATTGGCAAAAAATAAAAATGCACTTTTTCTTGAAGGTGTCCACATATACAGTGAAGGAACGTGACTGTCAGTTATATTATCGAATATTGAGACCTTGATCTGTCTACAGAGAATGTGTTTGTGGGAGGATGAGTAGATAGAGTGCTGCGAAAGTCAACGCAAGCCATGGCAGTAGGGCCATTATCTGCCCATACTTTGCCAGACCAGAACATAAATTCACTGCCTTTAAAATAAAAAAATCACTGAGCATTGCAAAACCACTCAGTGCTTTCGTACTTGATAGAGCTGTTTGAATTCATTAGTGCAATATATAGTTAGGTAGTTATTTAAACATTACTCCTCTTTATTATTTAATACTTGAGTGATTCTTTTATTTGCTCTAGAGAAATTTTTGAATTATGGGAGTGCAGAGGAAAAAAATCCAAGCCGCGCAAGCCTATTGTCTGGCAATTGTCACTAAAAGAGAATGGCCCCTGGGTTTTTAAAGTTTATTTTTAAAATACTGATGTTGCTCAGCTAAGACTTATGTCAGACCTGAGCCCAGAGCAACTTTTTTTACAAATAAAGGTATGAGCTCTTCAGTAGAGGAATAGGGCAGTAATGGAAGCGCTGACAGTCTTAACCACAGCATTGCAGATGGGCTGACTGATAGCCGCTCTGCATCTGGCATCTGGGGTAAAGGTCTCTGCCCGTAAGTGACAGAATGCGATTTATTTTTTTTCAGCTATGCTGGAATGAAAGTTTCTCGGTTAAACTTATCAGCACATATTGAGTTTCAAAGAATGTACCTGGAAGCGAACGGTTGTATTTACTGTTATCCTGTAAATATGATTGTTTTTAGACACCATTGTCATATCAAAGTATAAAATGCCACAGGAGTTGTCTTTGAAAACGTGGGGCTTTGCTCTCACGCTGGCTTCTCATACTGACCTCTTTTATTGCTGACCTTGGCCACCAGTGCTTCTGTAGGCAAAGTTCATTTCACCAGTATGTTATTAAGGATAATGACAGATTATTTAATTGTCATTAAAATCCCCCAGAATTATGGAAAACTTTTCTTCCATGCCTGTAGTGATTATGGCCTGAATAACAACATTACTGCCCTTGCCTGTCCTTTGGGCTGCTTTGGTTTTTAACAGCTTTGGCACTTCTGCAGCGGTAGAATTTCCTCCTGGTCTTTCAGGTCCTCGGGTGCGTTGTCTGACTGAGCATCCTTCCTCCATGCGGCTGGTCCTCTGTTCCCCTCACCGCCCACCCCGAGGCGGGGTGCAGAGGTTTGCATGAGGCCCTCGACCCCTGTTATAGCTTGCAGCAGACCTGGCTACAAAGGGCACATGAACATGAGCTCCGGAGGTGTTGCAGAGCCTCCAGGTAGGTTTCTGAGGAGCTCTGCAGTCCCCAAGACAAGGAGTCATACTGCTGTTAATCTGCTTTTTGTGAGCCTCCAGGCATGCATTTAAATGTAAGCCTACACTGCGGTGGTGTTCCTGATGTGTAAACAGCAATGCAGAAGAGTGAGTTCAGTAATATTAAGGCAGTAGGCAGTTCTCATCCCAAGTCTTGCTTTAAGAGCTAATTTGTCAGTGGCTGTAGTGTTAGGGCTTTATTATTTCCACAATTTGTCTGTTTAAAAACATCACCACTAAAATACGCTATTAAAATACTTTATCAAGGAGGCTGAGTCTCAGAAGGGACTGGGAGAAAAAATTGTGTCTAGGGCTATATCTGTATGCTGTAAATGTTCCTGTTCACCACTTTTTCCATGGTCGAAAATGTGCCTACATCCACCTCTTGTAGATAATTTAATCACGAATGTAGGGAAGGGTGATTTTAGTCAGTCTGTGCTTTCTGCCACAAACAAAGACAATTGGAGAGATGCAGTGCAAATAAATGTCATAAACTATTCAACCCTAACACCTCTTCAAGTTAATGCTTTCTCTGCTGTTGAAAGTACAAGAGAGACAAGAGGTCTGGGTGTCTTACACAGCTAATAGTTAATCTCTTCTGGGGTTCTGTACCTTATGCCAGCACTGTAAATTGATTTTGAAAGGTTGCAGAGTTGAGGTGAAGGCTGATCATTTGACGCAGATATTAATTTATCTATGTAAATATTTTTTTCTTAATGCTTTCCCCCCCCACCCCCACAACTCATCAGGGTTTTGAACCCATCCGGGGTGGATTTCCCATTCCTGAACAGAGTGGGAAACAACAGGCAACTCACAGCGTAGTGAAACACAAACCAAAAAAGGTGGGTGGTTTGCGGGGAGGCTGTAGCCATGTATTGCGTGTGAGGAGGAGGATGCACTGCAGGTGGGAGTCATCAGAGACAAGGGTGTGGGTTTTGGCCACGTTAGCTGCTGTGCCCTGCCCGCCCAGCGCTTTGTACGTGTCTCCCAGCCCTTAGGACAGAGGTGGCAGGACTTCTCCTGCCCTTCAGCTGTCGTGTGGTGCCTCTCCGTCCGGACATGGAGCTGCAGCCGCCGACCCCCGCCTCGCACAGCGGGACGCTCTGCTTGGCAAGACCCATACATGTTAGCGTAGTTAGGGCTGGGCACAGAAGATATTGTGGAGCTGATGTGTCTGTAACGTGACCGAATCTGGGAATCAGGTTGCAAAGGAATACAAGATTAGTCTTACAAGTCTCATAGATAAAGTACGTTATGAAAAACCAGCAACCCACCATCAAAAAAACTTATAAAGAAACTTCAGTTTGTCCAGGCTTGTCAGGCAGGTGTGCCCCAGCCCGGACATCTGCTTCTCGAGGGAGAAATGCAAGACATGGGCTGGTAGAGCTGCTGGCCCCCACTGCCCTGTTTGCGGCCAGTGGAGTGTGCGGCTCTGTCTGCAGGGTGCTGCCTAGAAAGGAAAGAGCATGGAACTCGACAAAGTGTTTTTCTTCACAACTGCTGGCTGAATTTCTGGAAAGTCCTGCTAAATTGCAAAAGGAAGGTAGCTGTACCTTTTGTTGAGCTGTTCGTACCCATCCCTGCTGAGGAGGGGAGCAGGTTAGAGGAAGGGTACCAACGCCGTACGGGAACAGGGTGCAGAGCTCAGTGTGCTTGCACTCTG